AACAAAGCTAAATCAGATAAAAAAATTATTTGAGATTCAAATGCCTTAAATTTTAAAAAAGGAAGAAGAAAAAAGTATGTCTCGAAAACTTCCTGGTAACTTTCCTCGATTGAAAACTACTTTCTCCTAGCATATTGAAAAACACTATTGGTTTGCTATTTATACATTTAATAGTCGCCCCAATATTGCGAAAGCTATTTGTTAGGGAAATATTCCTCCTGAGGAAGATAAGTGTGAGAATATCTTCGCAAATACTCATACGAGATTCTACTTATCAATACGTTGTTACCTTACCCTTCAAAGACGAAGAAAAGGAATATTCTTTTCCCGGATCTCGCGACACCGCTTTGCATTTTTTTATATTCACTCGAAAGAAGACTTTCTAAAAAATCCGATCTTCGTTTGCAATATAATGAGTTTATGAAAGACTATACATATGGGCCCTGTTTCTATCGAAAATTTAAAGTCTGGAAAGTACTACATACCACATCACTGCGTCGTTCGTCCTGAAAGTGTCACAACCAAACTTCGCGTTGTGTTCAAGGCTTCTGCCAGGTATTCAAGAGGTATTTCGCTTAACGGTACATTACTCATGGGGCCTAAACTACAAACTAATATTGTTGTTGATACTTTTGAACTTTAGGATTCACTTCGTTGTTTTTATGGCCGTCATGCGACAAATATATCGTGGTTAGCGAGGCTGATCGTGACTACCAACATATCTTCTGGCGTTTTGACACTAACCAACCCGTTCAAGAGTATCGTTTAAATACCGTCACGTACGGCATGTCTTCCGCTCCAATTCTCGCATGTCGTACAATAAAACAACTGGTCTTTGATGAAGTTAAGTAATCTATAATATAAATAATATTTCATACATTGCCTTGATGTGTTTGGCATTGTATACATTGCCTAGGTATTGTATAAAAAGCCGATTGCCGATTATAAAGTCTAGTTTGTATTTGGATATGTCGTGAATGAGTCTAGTTCTCGCGATTTTCGGAGTATACTCAAATTAGTATGAGGATTTAAAAAACTTAATCATATCTTTAAAACAGGCGAGGCTATTAGCCTAAGCCCAATCCCCTACCTCGTGGAGCCAAGAACCAAGAAAAACAAATACCACCAAAAAGAAGTGTTATTTTACTGTGGATCTGAGGTGGAGGTTACATCCCCTGGAATTTTGCATAACCAAGTGCTGACTTTCATAAAATATATCACAATTTATCTATAAGATTTTCACACACATAGGTAGGTATATAAAAATTGTGATTTAAACAACGCTTTTATGAAATAAATTTTTTGAAAATAAATGTAAAAGACATTTTTATTGTATAAAAATGTTAACCGAGAAGAGCTTTGATGAAGAATTATAACACTACATTAAAATGGCTTATCTCAGGACTGAATACTTACGAGAGGCAGTAAGTACTTTTTAACTTGCGCGCTATGTATCCCTTGCGGGGCTGGGAGTCAGTAGGTACCTGACATACTCGTTGTGTACTGAGTGATAAATCTATCCTGCTTAGAAGGAATTTATATATAACAAGGCGTAACAAATGACTCTCACGGTCACGGAGTAAAGATACTTACCCTGCCACCGACCTAAAAGGTGTTTCTTCATTCTCTTTTCCTAACCGGGGGTAAAAAAATTGGGCTATTTCTGAGAATTTATAATATTGTAAATCGTGAAGGTAACTCTATTAACCGTACAAAAACTACTTGTGTTGAATTTTGGTATATAAATAAGGAAGTAGGTAAAAAATATTCGAAGAAAAAGGCAAAGGCTACTATTTTCGAAAATAAAATTACAAGTCTCTGATATTATATTATGACACTTGAAATAGGGATCTATTCTTTGATTGTTTGCTGAATGATGATAATGAAGAATAATGATAGCTCGTTTGATATCAAAAAAATAAATCTGTGCAGACGAAGTCGATGGTACTAACTGGCAGTTTTACATAATACTACAAATAAATGAATTTCCAACTACATAGTGACAACACTGCTTGATTCTTATATGAAAGGTACAAATCGGGGCAGGCGACGTCATTTTTCTTTTAATGTTTGGTACTTTTATAGCTTGTATAGATAAAAGTAATTTGAATTTGGAACGTTAAAATTGGTATGAAAACTCTTAATAGATACGTATATATTAAGAAAAAGTCGAAAGTATTTACAACATAAATGTGGAAACTTTTCTAAATGAAGCACCAGATCACATCTTTCTGGCCATGAAAGTGAGTACATATCTACATATTTAATGAATTTTTCACACTAATATTATAAATGCGAAAATTTCACAAATTTATTTTAAATACAATGTAAATCCTTATGTTTTCTTTTGTTATAGGTGGCTTTGATTTTTGGAGTGAATGGCTCTTGTCGTGGAAATTAACTTCTTAACATAAAAGTCGAAGATATAGAAAAGCATTCAAAGCAGTTATTGTTGATAAGCTTGCCAGATACCAAAACAAAGAGAGAACGGTCATTCGTAGTCTGTAAAGAGCAAGTAAGAATTGTCGAAAAGTATCAAGCTCTACGCCCTTCTAATATTAACACTAACAGATTTTTCGTATTTTATAATAATGGCAAATGTACGTGTAAGTATGTAATAATAGAAAAAATACCTGTGGCACTCGGGGACTGCCGCGGTAAAGCAATAGCATAGCATTTTTTATCAACTAATGCAATTATAAATATTTATTCATGCAGTTTTTTTTTCTTTGATATTAATTCATGTTACACTTTTAGAGCATGGTGACCGATAAGAAAACTTTTTATTTTATTTTATTGAATGAATGAAAAGTTAATATTGTTTAAAATATTTTTATAATCTTACATGCGATCTTCGTACAGTCGTACCATATACATGCACGTTCAGGTTCAACTAGTCGCGGGCTCGAACTCACTCGTGGATGCGGCCAAAAAGCACGCTGTCTCACCTAGCATTGTGTCTAAAAGAGATAGAATCAGTTATGAGCAGTAAGCAGCTAGGAGCTATATAAGCTGGCGGTTGGCGCGCGTGAGGCGCTCGTTGATGTAGACCCGAGCGCCGCCTCCCAAAGCAGTGGCCGGCGAGCCGCCCTAATCAGCGGTGTCCCGGGCGCCGTCTTCCGAATCCGTGACCCTCCGCAACAGTAACCCTGCGACGCACACGCGGGGCCGTCAAGAGATCGTCGCTCAGCTGGCGGCACGCCAGGCGAACCACCACACTGCGCGGCCGGCCCCGCGACTCGGCTGGCGGCTCACATGCTCCGCGAACACCAAATCCCGCCTACCGAGAGTCACTCCCAGCCGCACGGCCAGCATGGTGACACTCTGCTCCACGCTGACGCCCCTCTCTTCGGGCATCCCGCCGATCTCCAGGGCGGGCATCAACGCCTCCTGATCGCGGTCGTTAATCTCGGCGCGCAGCTCGGATATGGTGCGCTCCAAGTCACCAATCAAGTCCAAACACCGCAATACTCTACTCGAAGGAGTAGTCATGGAGGGCCATAACTGGACAAATGTGTCCAGTATCAATATTAACTTTTAACAAAATAAATGTTTTATTTATGTAGCCTTGGGTTTTTATTGCCTCGCAGTGGGTATGAAAAGTAGAGTATGCACCTGTGGGATAAAGCCTGTCTTACGTCACGGCAGCATATTAGACCCCTCGCTTCACTCAGGACTCTTCATGACTCCCTCGTTACGCTCGGGAGTTAACTCTAGAGTCCCTCGTTACGCTCAGGGTCCAATATTCCCCTTGGTGCATAATCTACAATTAACTATACACCCAATAAAGCAGGTTGCTCAATGAGACTTTGCAATTCTCCCAACCTATCATAATTTCCAAGACATGTCATTATTAAAAGCAAACTTTTCAAATTTTGAGGCTAAAAAATCGATAGTTTTGAAAGTACTACAAAGAATTTTGGATTTAGACGGGAAACTTTTTTCAAATTAGGTAAATAAATCCTTAGGGGAAAAAATCAGTTCAGGGGATAAGTATTTTCCAAAGTTAGTTTCGGTTTTCTCTCCAAGACTCTCGACGTTGCTCTAACTTGGTTAGAGTGTTGATCCCACCCCGTATGAATTCATTACATGCTCATTTGTCTAGTTCATGAAGTTGTTAGTAGAAATTTTGATTGAATTAGTTAAATGTCTATTTTATTAGACAACGATATAACATAAACAAAGTAAAATGTATATTGGTTTATTTACATACTGTATTCGGCTCTTCTTTATTTACTACCAGTTGGTCCAACGCAATCAAGCTTCGAATAGGTATTCACATTCTATACCAGCTCTGCTTGCATGTTCGTTTGCATTTATCGAAAAGTTGTTTTGTGAACTTAATTTATGTGACACTCACCAATACTAAAACCAAATATGTGCAGCAAAATTTTTATTAACTATGTAGTTAAAGCAGAAAAACTGTTGAATTTATAATTTGCGGTTATATAATATATACACCCTGTATTTTGATATTTATACAACGAGATGGCTTTTAATGCATCCTTTTGAATCGGCAAAAGCTAAGCGGTACTTACCATTACATAATGTCACCGTCCGCTCGTTCCGAAACCTTAATAAATAGGTACCACATTACAGAATAATGTTATTTTGCTGTAATTTTCTGTAAACGTGGAGGAAACTTCCCCAGGCGGATGTTACAGTACGAGCTGAAAATGAACAATGGCCTACATTTTCAAATATGTAGCTCATGAATTTACTAAAAAGATCCTTTTCGACCCACTAAAAGGTCTCCTAGTTTGCTACCGAGAGATCAAATTTACAAAAGCACATAGACAAAAGTATGCTTAAAGTTACACCTACGCTTTATAAAAATAGTAAGAAAATAGCACAAAGTATGTAAGGCATTGTAACTTTTAGCTTATAAATAGATCATAGTTGTGAATATACTTGAACTATATTCACAACTGTGATCTACAGGGCGTTTAGAACATCGCACGCCTCATTTACCAGTCCCTATTAACTAAAGTTTCTGTTTTGTTACAGCTGTACAACTTTTTTAACGCATTGCTGAGTCACATGAAGGACACTAGTGGGCGGCCCTCCTCCGAGCGGACTTCTCGCACCGCCTCAGTGTGTAAGTACGCAAACAATGGCATTTACATTTCGGGGATGAAATTTACATTTCATAAGTAACTCGTGCACTGGATGCTGTGCAAACTCAAATTACACGCGAGATGAATTCACTTTGGGGAGTAATTCAGTTTCACCGTTGACTTTCTGTAATTTAGTGAGAGTTCTTATGATCTTCCTTGGAACAAAGTACGTGTTAAGTTGGAGTTTAATAATGACACAACTATATACTGAATAGTAAGTAAGTAACTGGAGAAGTTCTATATTTATTTTATTAATTTGGACAGTAAATATTTAGGTCAAATGGTCATAAAGTTATTTAATACCCACTTATGATGTGGAATATACTGTCGAAAACGTGCCAAGATAACTTAATTAATGCTTATTCATATTTCAAAATAAGTTTTGATTACTTAAAAGGTTGTTTTAATTACAAAGGTTTCCAATAAACGTAAAGATTGAAGAAAGATCCGTAACTTTGTAATATCCAAACAAAAGATTGGAAAAATAACAGCTATTTTGTAGTTAAAAACCTCCAATTTGCGAGGGCGGTGATTGATTGTTAAGTCTCAATAAAAGATTTAGCAATTAAAATCAATTAACTTTTCAGTGTTAACGATTTAGATTAATGGCTCTAGGAAAATAACTTTGCGTAACATGAAAATGATTCATTATCGGATGAAAAGAAGATATTTTTAAATGTTTTAATTATCTTTTTTAGCTTTATTTTGCATTGAATGTTATTGTTTATTCCGGGATTTTTTTAGATATTTAAATACTTGCAATAAATAAAACATAGATGCTGGAAATGTTTCAAAATGCTTCGATAATCTCTTATACAAAATCCTTTGATTTATTACAGGTAGCTGTCAATGCATGTGTAATTAAAAAAAAAATTATCCCAATTCTTGCTACCTTGTGATTTCATACAGAAAGCCGTATCACTCGTATTAGTGCCTCAGTCTCTCTGTAGTCGAAAATTCCTAGGTACTACTTATTGCATAAGTTATACACTTCTGGACACATCTATTGGCCCACCTTAGAGTTTAGGTTTCGATGCCCCCCCCCCTACCGAAATATAATTGCTAGATTGAACAAAAACTGTAGATGCAGTTTTAAACCTGATACATTTTACCATCTTTTTCGATCGTATTATTTTAAATTTGAATTCAGAATACCATACGAGAAAGGTCACTGACAAACCGTCCGTGAAACCACCCAAGAAACCGTTGCCACCGCCGAAGAAGTCGTTGACCGATGCAACACCGGCCAACGTACTCCGTAACAGACGCCGCGCGAAAGCGCGCTTTATTGCGAGGCAGATGCGCGCGCTGGAGACTGGGGGAAGTAAGCAGCCAGAGGCTGCTGAAGAGTCCGCTGCGACTCACGCCGCCCGTGTAAGCAAGGAGCCCACCGGTACGGCTGGCGCCAGCCGGCCAACTGGTGAGAAACCTGCCGAAAAGGCACCTAAGAATCCGGACGACGAGCAGCACGGCGACGATTTGTTGCGACCGCGCGGCAAACGATCGGGACAAGCGCGGAACAACCGGCTAAAGAAGTCCCATTCGATACCCTCGAAGAGAGGACGTCCCGATGACACTATATCGCCCAGAGGGGATACCAAGAGGCCAAAGACAGGTCCGAAGGGTTCAGCTGTAAATTACGCGGACGCATTGAAGGTCAATGACCTCTGCGTCGCAGTAATGGCAGAACCATTTCAGGACCTGACTGAGGTACAGGCCTCTAAAATCGAGGAAGACATCGAGGGGGCTCTGGATGAACAAATCTATGGACCGTCCACGATGTCATCCCGCTCACCGGCATTCCGTGGCAAAGCCTTCTGGTCGGAGGGCGTCCTCAAACTTTGGTGCGAGGACGACTATTCGCTAGAATGGTTGCGCCAAACAATCAATAACATCAGGTCTCCCATCTCGGGAACCGTATTGACGGTAAAACGATTCCGAAGAGGGTGAAGGCCTCCATTATTGTGCCACGGTACAAGGGCGAAAACCTCGACCAATTGAGGATGAGGCTGGCCGCCCAGAATCCGTGGTACAATATTAATCAATGGGCGCTGTACCACGCGGTGAAGACGGAGGAGAAGGAGGAGCTGTTCATCCTGGTGGGTATACCCCAGGATGATGTGGCGAAACTTCTCGCGAGGGATAGACGCGTTGCTTATAAGCTCGGGTCTCTCTACGTCCGCTTCTCGTCGGGGGCAGCCGATCGACCGTCCACGGAGAAGATACCACCGGCCACCATACCGAACCTACCGAGGGAGGCCAACGTAGGACAAGGCGTGAGTATGGCCAACAAAACATCGGCCTTGACACCGACAACATCGGCCTTCAACCCATCACCGGCCCGTCAATCCAGCATGGAAGAGGAGGGTGCTGAACGTATGGACTGGTGGCTAGAGGGTGAAAAGGCGACGGAAGAGGAAGCGAGAGCGGGTAGTTCGATCAGTCAAGATGACGATCAACAACCCAGCCCCTCTCTTTAACATCATACAGTCCAATCTCCAACACAGCCAGACAGCCACGGCAAACCTTCGGCGAGTGTTGGAGACAAACACCAAGACCATAGCCCTCATCCAAGAGCCGTGGATCAGGGGTGAGAGGATCTGTGGTCTATCCAACATTGGAGGCAAACTACTCCTAGACACTACCGTAAGTAAACCACGTACATGCATCTTTGCTCCAAAACATGTGAAAACCGTTTTAATTACCGAGTTCTGTTCCAGGGACCTGACTGCTATCAGGCTCCTCAGTGATACACCTAGCCTCCCCGAGGTGATTATAGCGTCTGCCTACTGTCCGGGCGACGCCGAAATCCCCTTACCGGAGTTCGAAAGGCTGGTGACACACTGTGAGCAAGAGGGACTGGAGCTTATCATCGCCGCTGACTCCAACGCACATCACACACTTTGGGGCAGCCACGACACCAATACCAGAGGTGAGGAGTTTTCTAGCTACCTTTTCTCAACAAACTTAAAAATTATCAACAGAGGCTCTGAACCTACTTTTGTTACATCAAGAGCCCAGACAATAATCGACCTTACCCTAACCAGTGAGAGGATTGCTGAATTCATCACTGACTGGCACGTATCCGACGAAGCATCTTGCTCGGATCACAGATGGATTAGGTTCTATCTTCATATAAACAATAAACCACCAGAGCTCCGACGCATTCCACGTAAGACTGACCGCAAGAAATTCTTTTCACTAATCACGGCCAGTCTGAAGTGTCTCCACTTGCCAGCGGATTACAAAAATCCAATGGAAATAGACACACATGTGAATAACCTAACATCAACTTTAACCGTCTGCTATGAACAATCATGCCCACTAGTACAGCAACGCACAACAGCCAAAGGCAAACACAATTGGTGGGGTCCTGAACTGGATAAGTTGCGACGTAGGGCAAGAAAGATGTTCAAGAGAGCAAAAAACACCAGACTCGAACACGACTGGATCCTCTGCAAGGAGGCACAGTCACGCTACAAAAAATGCATCCGCTTCAGAAAGGCTGAATGCTGGAAGCGTTTCTGTAGCGATATCCAAGACAACAATCATGCCGCAAGAGTGAGGAAAATACTAAGTAGCGATCCCGAGCGCAATTTGGGTTACCTCAAAAAGGCTGATAATACTTTCACAAAAACCGACGCTGAAACCTGTGAGCTGCTGATGCATACTCACTTCCCAGGCTGTAATACTAGAGACGACCAAGACTGGGAAGATGAGATATCCGCGGTTCCGGATTTAGCTGACTGGACAACTGCACGCAAAATCATTAAAATCAACACATTAACTTGGGCCATCAAAAGCTTCCTCCCTTTTAAAGCAGCTGGTCTGGATGGCATCTTTCCGGGCCTACTGCAATGGTGCGAGGAATCGATACTCGAGCATCTACTGCGAATCTACACAGGATGTCTTGCCTATCGATACATACCCACCAAGTGGAGAGAGGTTAAAGTTATATTCATACCCAAACCAGGCAAAAGTGACTACACGCAACCTAAAGCATTCAGACCGATAAGTCTCACATCATTCCTCCTAAAGGTGTTGGAGAGAATGTGTGACAGGAACTTGAGAGATGATGCTCTAAAGCGTGTACCACTTCATGCAAACCAACACGCCTACAGCATGGGCAAGTCCACCGAATCCGCATTACACAACGTAGTCAGACAAATAGAACGTGGATTATCACCAAAACAATCAACGCTCGGGGTCTTCATTGACATCGAAGGCGCCTTTGATAAAACAAACTTTACCAGCATTAGCCAAGCAATTGTCAGACATGGAGTTGACCCCACGACTGCGGGGTGAATCAACAACATGCTAAAATACAGAGCAATACAAGTGACTGTGAACACTACGAAGAGAGCTGTAGTGGCACGGGGTTGCCCACAGGGAGGCGTTTTATCCCCTCTCCTGTGGAACATTGTGGTTGACGAATTAATTTGCCAACTCAATCAACGCAACTACTACACAGTCGGCTATGCGGACGACCTAGTTATCCTCAAAAGCGGGCCATTCCAGAATGTGCTGTGCAACTTAATGAGTAACGCTCTCAAAATAGTTGAAACATGGTGTACTAAACACCAACTATCGGTGAATCCGACCAAAACAGAGATGGTCATGTTCACGAAAAAACGTAACTTGGATACCGTTAAATTGCCCAAGTTATTTAAAACCGAACTGTCTATGTCAAGCGAGGTCAAATATCTAGGCATAGTTCTTGATCATAAGCTAACATGGAACAACCACTTACATAGACCAAAAGATAAACAAAGCCTGTATCACGTTTTGGCAATGCAAAAGATTACTTTGTAAAACCTGGGGTCTTGCACCAAAAATCACAAAATGGCTTTACACAACCATAATCAGACCACTCATCACCTACGGTGCAATAGTTTGGTGGCCTAGAACTGAACTAAACACCGCAATTAATAAACTGCAGCGTTTTCAAAGACTAGCTTGCTCTGCTATAACAGGCTGCATGAAATCTACACCTACAAATGCCCTAGAAATAGCGCTCGACATCCCGCCACTCGACCTGTTTATACAACAGGAAGCAACCATGGCAGCGCTAAGAATGTATCATCTGGGCTTGTGGACGGTAAACCAGGGACCTCACTCCAGAATTCTGGAAAGGGCTATACAATACCAACCTATGGTAACAGCCCGCTGTGATAAAATCCCGACTACTCATACATTTGATAGAAGATATCAAATAGAACTACTAGAAACCAACAAGGACTGGTCGGGCACAGACGAACTACGCATTTACACTGATGGATCCAAAATACCAGGATTCGGATCAGGCGCAGGAGTCTTCTCACTGGACCTTAACATCCATATATCAACAGCACTGGGTGATTACAGCTCAATATTTCAATGTGAATGTATAGCCATTACTCAGGCCGCCACCGCTGTCATTAATAGGAAAGTCAAAAACTACAAGATACGTATATTATCTGATAGTATGGCTGTCCTAAGAGCCCTAGATAGTAACAGCAAAACTTCTGGGCTAGTATACGAATGTAACCTGGCATTGGAGCACATAGCAACGGATAACAAGGTTATCCTCCAATGGATCAAGGGACATAGCGGTTCTGTGGGTAATGACGCAGCCGACGAACTAGCTAGAAGGGGATCATCACAGAAAGTGGAAGGCCCTGAGCCACTTCTGCCATTACCCTTCAATCAGTTTCGTACATGGATGCGGCAACGAACCACACAGAACCATAACACCCGTTGGGCGAATACCGAGGGCTGCAGGCAATCTAAGGATATTTTTCCCAACCTCAACCCCAGACTAACTAGGAAACTACTAAATCTTAACCGAAATGATCTCCGAGTAATGCTAGGCACCATAACAGGGCACTGCCCACTTAACAAGCATTTACTAACCATACGCGTTACAGATAGCTCTCTATGCAGAGGATGTCTGGAAGCAGATGAAACGGCCGCTCATGTGATCCTGGAATGCACGAGCGTTGCAGAACACCGGGCATCAATCCTCAGGAAGCCGAGGACGCTCCTAGAAGCCTGTGAGAGCCCCAGGAGGCTACTGCGCTTCTGGAAGGAGCTGGGCTGGCTGAGCTAGCTAGCCCAACACACCCTGCACGCACAATGGACCAAGTACGGAGTCTACGTGCGGAAACGGGGGCCCACAACAAGTAACCATACGACATGGAGCTACGCCTAACAAGTCGGATATGCGCCTTGTTAAAGGCAATTGATTTTTGAATAAAAAACATGTTTTATCAAATAAAGGTTTAATTTAATAACGCGTGTTGCCTCCATGGGCATCTACCACAGCTCTCATACGATTAGGCATAGAGTTTATCAACCGCTCTATGAAATTTTGAGGGATCATCTCCCATTCCTCTTCTATGGCAGTTTTCAACTCCTGCATCGTCTGGGCAACTGGCTGACGATCCCTAACACGTCTTTTTAGCTCGTCCCCCATGTGCTCAATGGGGTTCATGTCTGGGCTTCTGGCTGGCCAGTCCATAACTGTGATGTTCACATCCCGAAGATATTCCCTGATGATGCCTGCCGCATGGGCTCTTGCATTATCATGCATAAAAAGGAAATTTGGGCCCACATAGTCCGCGTATGGTATCACGTGAGGTTCTAAGCACTCACGAATGTACCTTTCAGCATTTAATGTTGGCAGCCGTGGTCCTGTAACAACCTCAAGTTGAGTTTTGCCGCTTGCAGATATACCGCCCCAGACAGTCCATGAGCCACTGCCATAAGCAACCCTCTTTTCAAAGCAGCATTGTGCGAAACGCTCTCCCTTACGTCGGTAGACCTTCTTCCTTCCATCATTGCCATGTAACACAATTTTAGACTCATCAGAAAAGAGTACACGGCTCCAATCTTGCTGTGTCCAATTTAAATGACTGCGTGCGAAATAAAGGCGTGCTGTTCGGTAGGCTCGCGTTAGTTTGGGCCCATTAGCTGGCTTGTGAAGTACCATATCGCGTTCTTTTAACCTTCTCCGAACAGTTCGAGCGCTCACAGATACTCCGTGGAAGTCGCGAATTTGTTTTTGTATCTCAATGGAGGTAAGGTGACGATTTCTGAAGCTGGTCGTCACGATGAATCGATCCTGCCTTTCAGTTGTGACCCGAGATCGTGGCCTTCCTTGGCGACGAACAAAGCCGCCAGTCTCTAGGTACCTCCGATAAACATTTCGGACCGCAGATCGACTTAAATTAAGTTGAGCACTCACATTTCTTTGGCTGTGTCCGGCCTGAATAAGTGCCACAGCTTGGGCGGCGACTTCAGGTGAAGTATCCATAGATTATTGATAGAACCTCACCTTAATGTTAAAAATAAGTAATGTTTGTTGCAAAACCAAAGATATCAATCCCTTTTTGAAGAATTAAATCCAAGTAAACCAACTCTTTTTACAGGTAAAACAGTGTGAATATATTTATTTCTACTTTTATTAGCGTTTTCAAAGATTATGTTGTTCTAAAAAGGAACAAACATACATATATAGACTGTTAAACACATAACCCTGTCTGCTCGTCGCGCTTCGCGCTCTTGCATTGCGCAGCCGGGTAAAAAATGGTTAATTTTCCCCAACATATTATTTAATACACCTGTCTGAATGACGGGCTGCTAGTACTTAATAAATGAGTTAAAAGTATTCAATGATTTATGGTAAGTGGGATTTTCAACTATATATCATAGATATATAGTGGTCACTGAACAGTAAATAGCTAAGTACATCATACTGGTTTACACTCTCAATCAATCACTGTAATCTTTTAAAAATATGCATATTAGAAGTATATACTCTTTGCTTTATCTTATAATGATCATTGGTTATCGTGAAATATAACATTAGATACCCATTTCGTACATTAGAATCAAGAGATTTCTGAAATTATGAAAATCGGGAAAAGTTTATGATTGTTTTAAACTAAACCTTTTTACCTTGATAAACCTTGATTGAATAAATTTAAGTTCTCTTTTGCTATTAAATCAAACATAACTTTTTTATCTAAAATTTAATGGAGAGAGGAGACTTTTAGGTGTTAACGAAATCAAATTATGAAGCTTCCTGTATAAAGTTTGCTGATTAATAATCAAACTCGATGTTTTTATCACAACGAGTTTACTTAGTCGAGGTAAATGCTCAGGGAATATTAATTCGCCATGTTGCTGCACAATGTGCTCGTTCCCAGTGTTCCCGTTTTTCTTTTATTTAACTGGCTGCAAACACGCGATGTTGCGGTATCTTTACACATGTCTAGTTATACAATTTAAACCGACCGCAGTGGTGACATTTCCACATGCTACCAAATGCAGATAAAACTAGGTCTCGCCTATTCCTGGCCCGACACAAATCCGCCTTTGAGTGCCATTTATTCACATTATAAGCGCCGTGTCTGTGTCGCACAGGTAGCAAATGAGACTATTCAGAAATAATTTAATGAAGTTGGACGAGTTTATATTATTAAAAGAATTTTCTGATGCCATTATTGCAAAGTCATTATACAGAAGATGCAAATCGGATGAATGATCGAAACCGTACCATTGTTATCGGAGCGGAGGGGCGTAGAAAACAAAAGGATATTGTCAGATTTTTCAAATACTAATTCGTATGATTTAAACAGATATTATTATATTATTTTACTTATCGTTCATGATTTACACAAGTGTTAAATATGAAAAGTTTATTAAACTTTTTTATTTTAACAGTTGTTTTTTGTTTATAGTACCTATTAGGGTTATGATGTTTACATAATAACAAATAATTTGTAGCTTTAACATTATAGTACTCGATTTATAAAGGTCAACGTAGTGTTATTTATATATGTTAATATTATTATCCTTAACCTCATGTAACACTCTGTAGCTACCTTGGTTCTGTAGTCACTGTATACTATATTTAATTGCGATAATTTTAGTAATCATAATTTAAGACGTAGCAGTTTATGGGAATACGATTGCAGAACATCCATTTTTTAGAACTACTACAGAAATGGTACATTTTGAAGTGTACTGCTCAGATTTGCGAATACATAGTATATCTGTTTCACAGTAGAACAAGTATTCTCTGAAGAGTCCGATGAAGGTGGGGGCGTCGACGAGACGGCGCCATCCAAACTGTCGCATGGGCCCGATATAGAGTTCCCTCTGCAGAGAAAGGACATCGACTTACTCATTGAAGCTTTCCGAAAGAAAAAGGTATGAAGTATATATATTTGACTTATAAACTTTTTAGGAATGTTAATATTTTTTTTTTACATAATATTAACATTCATAAAAAAAAATTAACTTAAAAACTCCTTTTCATCCCACCACCTCGGAAAGTGTAATTTTGCGCTTCGAAATCTGGCTGGAAAATTCTATTTTATTCGCTTGAGCGGCAAAGTAGATTTGAATTTAGAACATCACATATAATGAGTACTCAATATAATTGTAAATTCAAAACGTCATTAAACCTATTTAATGTAACCTCTATGGTGCCAAATTTATGATTAGAACTTTTTAAATTGTGAAAAAATTTAAATTTGGAACCTTCTTGGTTTCTTTGTTTTATTTGCGTGCTTCGCGCCATTCTAGTTTTTCACGTTTTATTGCTTAAATATTTTGTCATTATAAATTGTTTTCTTTTTCATTTTGTCATTTCCTCGCTGAGGTGGGATGAAAAGTTACGTATTGCACTCGAGTGGAAAGATTTTTCACCTTGTGCTCGTTTGTTTCCCTCGCTGACGCTCAGGATTCTAATTTAGAATCACTCGCTGCGCTCGTGATTCAACTTTAGAATCCTTCGCTTGCTCGGTCATCCAAATCGAGCACGCGGTTAAAAAGGAACTTTCCACTCTTGTATAATAAATAACTATTAAAGCACGGAAATAAATTTATTACTTCTGAAATAGTTTATACTGCGTGAAATTTACGGCCTAGTTTCTTTGTTGTTATAATTTTAGATGTAACTTATTATACAATTTATTTTATTATTTATATTTATTGTTTAGTATTAGTCTAGTGTCTAAAGTTATTTGAATTAGAACTATAGTCAAGGCCACAGGAATTGATAAACTATCACTTTGATCTCTAGCTGTTTAGTAAAAGAGGCGTTGTCAATGTGACATTGTATCTACTTATTAATCTTGACTTTAACTGTATTATGCAGCTTTTGGCTTATCTCAACTTTATTTTAGCGATAATAAAACGTGAGAGTTTAAAAAAAATATGAATCCGGCACAGATAAAGGTACTAACTTTGTTTAATAACTTCAGAGTAGATGCGATGGTCCGATATTGAATCTCCTGATTGAATATTGAGTAGCTGGTTATAGCAATAGATTTCAATGAGGCTGTTTATTCATTAATTATTAAACATCCCATAAAATATTTTCTAACCTTGATTCATTCGGCCATTAATAAACTCGATAACTTGGTTAAATCTCTGTCAAAAGGTAAATAAATGTAGTTTCCGTATTAACTCGATTATGTCACAATGATAAATGCATTTGGATTCAACGATATTAAAACACTTGACTTATCTGACAATCAATATGTTATTAATTCGATAACATATGACAGTCGCACACATTATATATAAAGGGCGTGTCATTTAGGCCTTTCCAGCGCGCATATAAAATTCATTCGACTGGCTAATGTCAGTAAAATATCGAGTCCCATGAGCTTCATTATAATATTAAATCTTATGAATGTGATTAAATAAAGCATTGTGTTATTCCTAGTCAGGCTATCTATTTTAATATTATCATAAAAATCAATCGTTATTTATTTACGTTTTTGTTTTATTTTATAGAGCTTGGCATTTACAAATGTAAGTTTTCGATATTATATATTTTTTATAATATGGAATGATTTAGGTACTACCCGAATGCTATAACCATTTATTTCGTTTTGATTTGTGATGTCATATGCACTATACCAGTAGTCTCCCCCAATTTTAGATGTGTCGGCATATTGAATAAGTTTTAGAAAAACTAAGTATTAGGTATCATAAAATCTGTATTTTATATACATTTTTGTAGTGTCGTTTGCCAACAAGATCCATAGATGTTGTATTTTCCAGTTCACTTAGTCGCCGTAAACTTTGCTACTATAGTTTATGTATATGCAGCCATTTCAAATGTGTTGCTATTATATTTTATAACCGTGACTCACTAGAAACTAGCGAACAGCACATGTGATTTATCTAACACAACTATTGCATACATAATTAGACATGACATACTTCCATACGTAATGGGTAAAATAAGTATGTCTTTAAATGGATAGTACTAGCATAATTTTCACATTAAACAAAACATAGCAATTTAAAAGTAGCAACCTTGTACTCTCCTATATAACTAGATTAAATCCCATTTAATGTCATCTTATATTTATTTGAAAATGGTGTCCATATTCTACTTTGAAAGAATTTCGAAATTGAAGAACGCCCTTTTCAAATGCCAGCGTTTACAAAGACTAACTTGTTGAAAGTTATATAAGAGAATAACAAAACATATTTATTTCAGCACCGCCTTCACCCGAAATATGTAGCACAAATACTAAAGGAAGCTACACAAGCGTTAAAACGGATGCCCAACATCAATGTTGCCACCACTTCAATTTCCAGCCAAATTACGGTCTGTGGCGATCTGCACGGGAAACTTGATGATTTATTGGTCATATTTCACAAGGTAAGCGATACAAAGATTGTGTTATTAAACTGATCTATTCAGGGAAGACGTTGTTAGTTCAAATCTTAGAAATTCATAATCAAAACTTTTAAAGTTTTAATATTTGTATTTACAAATGATAGCCTACGTAGCACATAGCCAGTATGTGTATCTCAGAACACAGATGTGTATAAACAGAAACATAACAAGTTTTTACCAAAATCTTGGCAATATTTTTTTATGAACAAAACTATATACTTATAGAAATTATGATCTCTAAATTTTTTGGCCGCTTCAGAATACAACAGTCATATTTATCTTCACTTTCATAGTTTGCACGAAAGTTTGCGAAAAAAATACCGACGACAAAAGGTTTAGCCCTTAAATTATAGCTTCAAATGTTACAAGTTAATAAAGAAATATAGGTAAATGCATAGGTAAGTATTAGAGTCACGTTCACATTGATGCCTAGTAAATGAGCATGTTATTGCATCTTTAGTGCTTTCATCCCGTGATGATATTTGCGTAAAATTATGTAATATTTTAACAAGTAGTGATCGAAAGGCATCTTGTGTTTTACTATTTAACGATAACTATTGTAGGTATCTATAGTAAACGTTGGCTTTGTTATATGAGCTTTGTTGTAATTCACATAGGAGTTTTTTACATGCGGTATAATAGATATCCCTAATACAAACCCTCCCTCGACCCCATGTCAACCCTAGTGCCGATACCAACTGTTTGGGGGCCTATGTTGACCCTTTAATGAAAGACAGTACAAAACCCTATTACTTAAATACAAATATAACAATGGCAAAAATTAAATACAACTGTTTACAAATGGCGAATTTCGAAATTATACTGCGCTACAAAAAATTTCATAACTCACTCAATTTTACGTAGGAAGGGATAAAGTTAGGCTGTTAACAGATTGCTCAAACAATATTATTTTAGCCAACAAGATTTGAAAACTTCAACACAATGGCTTTACTGAAGTTCGAGTTGTAATTTCATCAACACGAATGACTCTTACAAAACTCAGTAAATACTTATTTCCCGCTGTTAAAATTGTTCCAGTTATAAACACGCAAAGAATAGAATCGCACAATGACAAATAAAATACCCCATGTGGTGTGTTCATCTATCTGTAGAAAATTTCTCGATGCTCAGAATGATCGCACGCGGTGCAAACTGTCTTGAGTATTATATAGAGTCCTTGATGTTAGATCGTCCGTAAGCCGAACATGTAGCCTGCAAGCTATTAACGCTGTTCATAAATAAATATTTGTAAACCTCACACGAATTAGCTAAGCCACAAAGTAAGCACTGTACGGTTTCTGTTATGAAATACTAGGGTAAAGAGACGTGTATTTTTCAACAGCCATGGCTGTAAATATAAATGCTCGTAAATATCATAAAAACATTTCGGCCCAGTAGCCCTTCTGAGTAGGCGGCGTCTTGAAAACCCCGCGTAGATACCACTCCACCACGGGAGTCGTCAAATACATAATTATATCTGCTTATAGAGTTTCCTTGGTGTTGTTTTCGCGATCATTAATGGGCGTTTGTTTGACTTCGAGTGGGTGAGTGGCCGGCCGGCCGCACTTGACAAACATCGGGAGCGGCGCACGCGTCACCTAATTGGCGTCGTTTGATTGATAGACCGCCTGTAACGCCGGACGACCTCGTTAGTTCGTCGATATTGTTTTCCAACTGATGTTTCCGTTATGGAAATATTGGAAAATGACGTTTATTGAACGCCAATCAAAATCATTGACTGGCAGTTACGGACATACTTTAATACTCATTTGCTCTTCATATTTTAAGATTAATTAATATACTAAAAATATTTGTTATAATAATAATTATGGGGAAGGTATGGTTACTTGTAATTATAATATAAGTTTTTAGAAAAATATTACCTACTTTTCATATCTTTATTTTATTTCTTCTCTTTGTTAGTATTGTATTTTATATCAACACCTTATGATATTATTGATGTTTTGACGAAAGACAAACTAAAAAACTAGTTTATTTTGGCATCTACCATCGGTTTTAAAAATGCCATTTTCGCTAGCGACAGGCTTTTCCAAACATTATTAAGAAACTGATATCTATACTTATAATAAATCTGTAGAGATGTCAATTCTGTACATGAAATATATTTTTAAAATAACTATCAGGGGGTCATTAGTGATCGATACTGATGCCAAAAATGCAATCAGTAAAATTTTTGTCTGTCTGTCTGTCTGTCTGTCTGTGTGTATGTTCCTTATAGAAACAAAAACTACTCAACGGATTTTAACGAAACTTGGTACAATTATTCTTCATACTCCTGGGCAGGTTATAGTATACTTTTCATCACGCTACAATCAATAGGAGCAGAGGAGTGAAGGGAAATGTTGGGAAAACGGGAGAAGTTACTCCATTTTTTAAGCTTCCGTCGCGGGTGCAGCCTTAATGGTTAAAGTTACATAGAAATTATGTATGACGGAAATATTCTACATAAAATTGTCTAAAAAATATCCCGCAATAGCATATGTCTATCTTTTATGGTTGACTTACAATAACACGTGTTACTCCTGATAGCTTAGCAGTTCGGAGCATTCTGATTACATTTGTTTACTCTTACGCTTATAATACTCTCACTCATCCCTAATTTAAAAAAAATAACATTATTACCTATTTAGGTATAAGAAGAATGTTATTGTGTATAATACAAGTCTAAGAACAAAAATTATAGTCTACACCGAAGCGAAGCGAGGGCGGGCCACTAGTCTTTAAATAAATAAAAGTATTCAACCGACGACGGGCGGACCGATCGCTTAACGCACAGCCTCAACTGATGGATTTATCTTTGTATTCGACTTCTATAGTTTTGATGATAAAAACGTGCAAATGTGTTTCATGTTCTATAATAAATAAAAAAAAACCATCTGTAAATTTCAAGAATATTATTATTTTGTAAATGATGAAGTTACTCATACCTACTTTAAAACGGATAGCTGGTATATAAAATAAATGAATATTAATTCCCATATATGTTGTGAATACAATATATGAGCAGGTACCCATTGAATAATTAGATTACCAATTACAAATGAAATGGGTCCCGCGGAGGTCATAACAAATGAACGTGACTAGAATTCGCCTGACATTGTCTATGACCTTTTTAATTAATAGTTATTGCACTGAACTTTTGACGAGACTATTGGACACCATAGTGGACATTAGGAATCTACTACATAGTTAGCAACCCTGATCGTTACAGGAGTAACCTCAGCATAAGAATAGGGCAAGCCCGAAGCTTCCAAAATTGATATATCTTACTCTCTTGACTTGACGAGCTTTATAAATTAACAATTTGTATAATGTACTGAATTTTATTTCGTGTTATATTACAATTATAATTAATTTCAATGAACTAGCAGTACCTTATGTGGGATTTGTATAGGGCAAGCCGGGCTTTTCGGCTTATATGAAAGTACCGCCATCGCCACTGGGAGTAAGAGTGTTGGCTGGAGGATAAAGTTACATAACATAGCTGCTATCGATTGGCAGGCACGTTACGTAAACCGACACGGCTACTGAAGATGTAAGGATTCACCAATTGGACATTCATTTCATATGTTGCCGTTAATAACCATAACTCAGGCATAACGTTATCGTGGCGTGGTTTTAGGTAATGACTGACCATTTTATCTAATGACATTCGAATATCCGTAGGTAATCGTTCAATATTTTGTCCCGCCGTAATCAAGTCGTAGCTTTGGGACTATTTGTGACGGAAACACTTGAAATTGAGATGGGTCCAGGACACTTTGACAGTTTTCTGAATTTGGTGAAGCGTGTTCAACTACCGTTCCGATTTACATCATGTCAACAGTAACGGTTACGCTAAATAGTCTTTAAAGGAAAATTTGTAGTACTCATGTACAGAATTATGTATTTAGTAAAAACAAAAATAAGTCGAATAATAGTTTCGAATAACATATGATAACACATTCCATATATCAATACCAAAAACTATCTAAACGATAGTAATAATAATGTTTATTTTCAAAAAAGTTATTATTTCTAAAGGTCCTCTTTATTAGTTATCTTCAGAATTTGCAATACTTAATCTAAAACGTCAGCAACAAACGCCGTTGATCGTTATGGCTCTACTGAAGGGATTATTAATTTATTTTCCAACTCTTCTTATGAATATTATTTCCTTTGTCTATAATAAAATGTAAAAATTAAAGTAAGCTCTACATTAAAATTAACATTTTATGGATGCATTTTAGGATTATCCTTATTTGCAATATCGTAAGAGATACTTTATTTTTTTGCTCGTGACATCGTGTTTTTTTTTGATAATTAGAAAATGCAACAAGTTAACTTTTTTATTCTGGAATAAAATCAGAGATATTTTTTACTCAAGTTACAATTACATTTGTCTTATTTAGGTGTTAAATTTATTTATTTTATTAAATTGATTACATGATTTTTTTCATTTAGCACAACCTCTTTGTGCTAATACAAAAAACATAACTGTAATCATAACATATTGTAGGGCAATTCCTAAAACATGTTTTATGCGAAACGTATACCATTTTTCACAGCGTCGTTAGATTTATTACATTGTTCCACATATCACGAGATCAAAAAATGATACATATCACCAGAAACTGTTTTGTAACAGTCAGAAAAAAATACAACGAAAGTCAGTTGTGGAATTTATTTTAATAACTCACATTTTTCTAACATGGAAAAACTAAGTATTCGTTACTGAATAAAAAAATCCCGTTATTTTTACACAGTCACCACAAATGATTTAAGTATACTTATACCTTCGCGAGATATTAATACTGGTCGTCCCTATTTCAGAAATCGGCTTAATTTCTCAATTATGAGAAATTTCAGACAGATGTTAAATTAAACTAAGAATTTTAAGTCACAAGACACTTCAAATCATAATAAAATTTAACCGACCTTTTCATTTTTGAAATACAGATGCAAATTCTTTGTTTCTTCAT